TTTTTTTAAAAGATGACTAGGGGCCGACCCCGTGGCTCACTGGGAGCGCTAAGGCCGTGGGTTCAGATCCTATATAGGGATGATGGCCGGTGCGCTCCCTGGCTGAGCGCAGTGCGGGCGACACCAAGCCAAGGGTTGCGATCCCCTTACTGGTCACAAAATAAAAATTTTTTTTTTTCTAAAAAGATGACCAGTAAGAAGATCTTAACCCTTGACTTGGTTTTGTCAGCACCACGCTCTCCCAAGTGAGCGAACTGGCCATCCCTATATAGGGATCCAAACCTGTGGCCTTGGTGTTATCAGCACCACACTCTTCCAAGTGAGCCATGGGCCAGCCCCTAAAATTTACAATTTTTAAGTGTACAGTTCTGTGGCATTAAGTGGCATTTAGCAACCACCATCACCACCATGCATCTCCAGAACTTTTTCATCTTCACCAGTGGAAACTCTGTACCCATTAAAGGATGACTCCCCATTCCCCCACCCCCCAGCCCTGGCAACCACCATTCTGTCTTCTATCTCTATGATTTTGACTACTCAAGACACCTCATGTAAGTGGAATCATACAATTTGCCCTTTTGTGACTGGCTTATTTCACTCAGCATAATGTCCTCAAGGTTTATCTGTATTGTAACATATCAGAACTTCATTCATTTTTAAGGCTGAATTATTTACTATTTTTTTAAATATTTTTTATTGTTTTCAAATTTTAGTTGATAAGTGTGTGGGATTTTGTTATATGATTATTTGCACTTCTTTATATTTCAAAAATTTTCTTTCCAAAAGAATTGGTTGATTTAACAATGAAGATATAAGGGAAAACTTACTCTTCTGACTCATAATTCACTGTCACTCATTTCTGATTCAGTGTGACTGCAACAAGGGAAAACATGGCTTACGTTGTGGAATGCCTGCGGGACGATGTGTAAGTACTTGCGTGTGTTTAGGACATCTATTAACAAAATACTAAGCTGCTCAGTTCTAGTCTTTGTAGTGTGTCATTATGACCTCTGACTTTGGTTTCAGATTATCATTTATGAAGTTTGCGCTCCTAACACTGTGCTATCCACAAGGCCTAATGTTTAGTGAGCATTACAGTGATGTAGAATCTCGAATGCTGGTTTTCAATTTTTGACTTCTGACTCTTATATTGATGTCTTCTATAGTGATATTCTAATGGAGTTCCTGCTCAACGTCACCACAGCACCAGAATTTCGTCAGTGGGAAGTAGCTGACCTTCAGTCTCAGCTAAGGATTGACAAAGCTGTGGCTTTTCAGAATCCACAGGCTTGTAAGTACATTTTCAGGTTACATTCATTTGTTTCTAAGATAGGCTTTTTGAGGAGGTCACTTTGTAGAGGAAAAAATTGCTGTTGAAATTTTTCCCTACTTGGGTTTATCTCTTCCAAAAATTTGTTCATCAGTTATTCAAATATATTGTTTGTTGTTTTGTTTCTAAACATTTATATTTGTTGTTGATTTGTCATGTTTGATGGTGAGTAAATTGATTATAGAATCCTGGATATTTTTCTTGTTTCCCTTCCAGTGTTTTATCTTATTTGTCATTTTGTTTTACATCTCAGACCTGGGGAAACCTCCCAGTGTTTTTTAGTGGTGGTTTTGCTTACACCAGTTCCAGCGGCAGTTTATTGTTGCTGCTACTGCTATTGTCTATTGTTATTTATTGCTATTATTGTTTAGTAAACTCCCCTTTATTGCATCTTTCCAAAACAAGCACCTTAATTTTTAAAAAATAAGAATTTTTTTTTATTTATATCTTATGTTTATGTAATATTTATAAAATCTTGAGAAGTACACTGGCAAAAAAATCTGTAAACAAGCACTGCTGACTCTCGGAAGTCTTACAACTTCTAGTGGGAACAGAAAGGTGCAGGTAGACCAGAAACAGATGACCTTGCAGGGGCTTGGCCTGGGACGGGGTTGCTTCAGAATGCAGGCCTGTTGAGAAAGGGTCCCCTGTCCAGTGTCAGGAACTTAGTGCTTGGTTCGTGTTGCTAATGTTATGTCTTGGTGACACTTTGTGTCACAAAGGAGTGAGATCTTTATTGTTCAGGACTTCTACCAAAGAAATAGATTGAATGGTAAAATTGTAGAAAAGATGACTTGTGTGTCCCTGGTGGCTTCTTCCCCACTGGTAGCAATAAGGCTCCAACCCTCATTCCTTCTGCCTGAACAGTTACTAGACGGTGTCCTGGCTGCTGTCTCTGCCTCTGGGTTCACATCTTCAGTCTGTCTGCCATATTGCCATTACAGTGACCCTTCTGACATGAAAATCCTCTAAAGGCTTCTAATTGTCTATAGGATAAAATCCAAACTCTTTAGCTTACCATGCATGGTCTTTCATGATCTGACTCCAGCCCACTCCTCCTTTTTCTTGCTTCACTCTTTTTTCCTCCCAGCTGCGAGCCCCCTTTCAGTCAGACTGTCGTCACGCATTATGTTTTTGCCTTGTCTGTTTCCTCTGCCTGAACTGCTGCTCCCAACTCACTCATTTGGGAAATGCCTCCTCATTCTTCAAGTCATGTCCCGGATTTTACCTCCATTACCCTTTTCAGTTTCCACGGCTCTTCCCTTGAGCCCCTGCTGCACTTTTGACACACTGCTGACACTGCACCCACAATACTTTATTTCATGATTTTTCCTCTTTTTTGAGGGCAGGTATTATATCTTACTCATCTCTGTATTTACAGTGCCTGGCATAGGGAGGTTGCCCAAATAATGAGCAAGTAAAGGAAACACACCTCGGGCAAAGGCACTCAAGCAGGAAGGCAGGGACAGTGTCAGGGCACGAGTGAGAAGTAAGTCCTGTCTGCCAGTGGCACTTGACCCATGAAAGCTAGTGATGTGACTTAAAACTGACACTGTCATATCTCTTCTTATCCTGACAACTCCCTCATCACCTAGAGAGGGAACCTACAAGTAAGTAAAATGCAGATTAAATGACTTCTCCAAAGTCACATGGCATTTTGGTGGCAGAACCATAACCAGATTCAGACTTCTCGAAACCGAGGCCATTATACTTTCCAGAAGATACCAAGCAGATTAAAGTTAGAGAGGTATTCACATGGACTCCAGCATGTAGAAGCTGCTGCCATATAATCTCTTATTTTTCTCAGCACATTCACCTGGCAGAATTTTTAAAGTTGCTAGAGCTTAAAGATAATAAATTTCGAGTCCTCTTAATACTTGAATGCCATAGATGACCAAATTATAGACTTGTTGCTTTCCAGGTTTTAAAAATGTTATCATTACTTGAATTACATCTCAGTAACTGCTTCTTTACTTATTTTACAGATGTCATTGAAAATTTACATGCTGCAGCTTACCGAAATGCCTTGGCTAATTCCTTGTATTGCCCTGACTATAGGATTGGAAAAGTGACATCAGAGGAGGTAACCAACAAGACACGTTACATTTTAAAATGTGTTTGTTTTTACTTTAAGTTGAACGTTCATCTGTCATTTCAGGTTTGATTGATCATTTTTCTTTTTATTTTCCGATATTAAGAAATTCAGCTTGCTTGAATTTTTTCCCATCAGCTTGCTTTTTAACTAAAATTCTGTCTGAACAGTTTTTTGTATGTTTCAACAACAAAAAAAAAGTTTTATGATAAAAGGGATGTGATCATTACAGAAAAATCGAAATAAAGAGAAGCAAAATAAAGGAAAAGAAAACATGTTACATACCTAAAGGCACTCAATGTTAATACCTGGTGTATTTTCTTCCAGACCCTTTTCTGTGTATTTGTATC